ATCCGAGTCTAAACATGAAATCGATATGATGTTCTTGTTGATGGCAGGTACAAAATAACAATCATGCAACTCCAATACAAGGCCAGAAGGTAAAGTCAGATCATAAGTCCCGACGGTTAATGCAGCAACTTTTGCTCCATTCCCGACGTGGAGATCTACTTCTTCCTTCGCCAATTGTCTACTTCCCCGCAGTCCTTGCACATTTGCACAAATATGCGAGGTACATCCGGTATCCAATACCCACGATGTAGAAGTAAACAAGTTAGCCTCTATAACAAAAATACCGGAAGTCGAAGCTTCTGCAAGCTTCTTCTTCCTCTGATCTTCCAGGTAGAGTCTGCAATTTCTATACCAATGCCCAACAGCATGAAAAAAATAGCATGACATAAATAACACTCTTCCTTCTTGGGTTTGGGCTTAGGCTTAGTGACAACACTTGTCAATTTCCTTTTGCCCTTACCTTTGGAACGCTTCCTTTTGCTGGAACTTTTTCCAACAACTGCCATATCATTCTTCCCTTGGCTCCCAGTTTTCTCTTGGAATGACACATTCAACTGATCAACTATCAAAGAATTGTTCATGTCCTCTAATTGCTTACGCAATTCCGAAGACATCTTTCCAAGCATCAAGCTGGACACGTCTAGACCATCATCCATATGTTTCCCATAAACATCAATGATCGATCTAGAAGCCTTAGTTAGAGGCTTATCCTTCATAAGGATAGATCGCATGGTAAGATTAACCAGATTCCTGCAACAGATATATTCTACAGAAAAGGACAAACAGACAAAATAAACACATCGCTTAGTACTCCTACTAACACAGACAATAGATGCAATATGACAAGCTCCCACTAAGAAAAACACCCTCAATGAGTTTCTAAGTGAGGAAGGATCCATATTTCACATGTTTTTGAGTCAGCTAGGGCATGACGCTCAAAACCATGCTATTTAGGTAGACAACACATTGTCAATCACATCCTATGTGATTCCTAGATGAGTATGGGATAGTGATACGCTATCACTGCATGTTCCTCATCTCATCCTTACCATCAGGTCCAAGTCCGACTTGATAACCCAATTCAAGCTCAACCATATCCGAGCTATGAGAATCACGATTTCTCCATACTGTCTCACCAAGATAGTCAGGTACGCTCAGCTAGGGCATGACCCGTAACCATGACGATCGAGGCCTTGACAGTTGCTCTACTAATGGGCGGTAATAGCTTGAGATTAATCATGAGGAAGAGGACAAAATTTCGGACTTGAGAAGTGTCTGAGGTCCAGTCCGGAGCTGACCAGAAACTGGTCCGCCGGACTGACCTTGGTCAGCTTCTCTGGTCCGCCGAATTGTCCGTTTTGAGAAAAATCTGAGCTTGGTCCGGGGCTGACCAACTTTTGGTCAGCTCCGGACCAACTCAGTCTTCTCCAACTACTCCGAGCTGACCAGGAATCGGACTCAGTTCGAAAACTGAGCTTAGTCCGGGGCTGACCAAACTTGGTCAGCTCGGACCGAGTCAGTCCGTTCCCTGTCTGCTCCGAGCTGACCAGAGGAAGCGCAGCGCAGATCAACTGGGCTTGGTCCGGGGCTGACCAAACTTGGTCAGCTACGGACCAACTCAGTCCGTTTCCTTGGTCCGTCCGCCGGTCTTCGTCTCGGACCTTTGTTCTCGCCTGGTCAACCGGACCAACTCTTGGTCTAGGGCTGACCAGCGAGAACTTTGGTCCTCCTGACCAAACACTTGGTCCGGAATTTGATCTGTCTGCTGGTCCGGCTGACCAACTCTTGGTCCGGCTGACTGCGGACAAATCAGATTCGGAACAGATTTTTCGGGCTTCGAAAATCATGGTTTTGTCCCGGTTTCGACGCACCGTTAACCCGTCCCAGACTCCATACCATCCATGCATCATTCAACAACCACAAATATCATTAAACATGCATAGATTCAATGATTACATGCAATTTAACGATTAAATCATGCAATCATACAACAAGCACGGCGATATACAGAGAACCAGGCTCTGATACCACTGTTGGGGTTATCTACGGGTTTCTAGCATGCGATCATATCGATCTAGGGTTTGGTTTACTAGGTTTCATGCAGCGGAAGAAAGATCTAAACCTAGTCAAACGTCACACGCAATCAAACTCGCAAAACCCGAAAGATCGTGTATATCACCGAGGGAATCATTACTTACCTCGTTCTCGATGAGACTTGAAGTTTATTTCGATCCGGGGCCTGTTCTAAATCACCTAGGACTGAAAATACAGTCCCTCTACACGTATCCACACCGACGGGAAGGATTCCAAACGATTTGGAACGAATCTGCTAGGATTAGTGAAGAAAAAGGTAACTCAAGAGACGAGATC